CATATAATATGCACTCAACAAATGTTAGCTGGCATTAATTCAGGGGAGAGGAAAACGCTCCCAGAAATATCTCAGTTTCCTTTGCCAGGAAATGTATTAAGGAATGTATCTTCTAGTTTCCATGTCAATGCTAAGTAACTGTCTTTTCAGGTGCCAAACCAATCCTTACCTTGGCAAGACTCAGACCTCCTCTGTTCTGCAAAGCTATATGAGATGACTTACTTGAAGAATCTGGATTTTGTGGGGAGAATGACTTCTCCAGGGACTCGGATTCTTTTTGCTCGATTTTCTCTGTGGTTGAACCCAGCTCTTCCTTCTTTATTTCTCTTTGCTCATTCCATTCCTCGTTTTCAAACTTGTTGGTATGAGTCTGGTCAGATTCTTTCAGCATTAGATCCTTTTTACCTTTGACAGCCCAGTGCATTGACTACATTAATTAAAAGCAGACATATAATATAAAATCAATATTATACAGTTTTCTACAATTAAAGTTTAATATGTGGTAACCCCTGACCTACTATTATAATGCTAATTATCAGAATGTTAGACTTGACTATTGATTAATATCTATTAATTGATTAATAGATATTAATCAGTTAATCCAAATAGTAATTAATTAATCTCCCCTGATTTGGAAGACTAATGATATAAGGAGAAATCCATGTTATGGTATAGAGAAGAAGGACCAGCATCAGAGAGGTTCAAAGAATTAGACGTTTCTTCAGAAATTTAAACATAGAATTACCCAGCAATTCCATTCCTGTATGGTATATGCCAAAAAGAACTGAAAACAGATGTTCGAAGAAAAACTTATACAGGAATGTTCATTTACAAACATCAAAAGGTAGACATGCCCAAATTTCCATCCCATGAATGGGTAAACATCAATGAAGTGTATCCATACAGTGAAATATTATTTGACCATGAAAAAGGAATGGAGTACTACAATGTAGATAAGAAACCAGGCACAAAAGCCACATATTGTATGATTCCACTTATATGAAACATCCGGAATAGATCAATGCATACAGATAGAACGCAGATTAGTGGTTACCAGAAGCTGGGAAGAGAGGAATAGGAAATGATTGCTAAAGGGTACGGAGTTCCTTTTGGGGTGATGATAAAGTTCTAGAACTAGGTAGTAATGATGGGTGAACAACACTGTGAATGTGCTTAATGTCACTGAATTGCACACTTTAAAATGGTTAAAATAGTGGGTTTTATGTTATGTGTATTTTACCACCAAAAAACAAATGAGGCCATGTGTCTTGAGCCATGCCAGAGATTAAACCTACCACTATTATAACTATTGTAACTACTATTATGACCTTCCATCCAGCCATGACCACTGCAGAGTTGGCATTAGAATTCTGGCAATAAAAATATTAGAATTCTGGATTATACATCTTCTCTTTAAGAAAATTCATGGCATGAAGCAGGAATTCAATCAATATTTACTATGAAATATTTGTCCTAAATTTAAGTGGATTAAATTTAGGCGAACTTGGTTCCAAGTCCAATTATCTACAAATAAGAAGAGCTTTCTAAATATATTTCCATGTATGGGTTTGTTTTTTTTTTTAAGGATAATATGAATGTGTATGCGTACACTGTATGGAAGGTTTCTGGAGGGAAACACAGGAAACTGCAGTGGTAGCTTCCTGAGATAGGAGGGTAGAACTGGGATCTGGAATAAGGATGAACTCACTTTTTACTATATATTCTATCGTACTATTTTGATTTTTTTTAAACAAAGGTGTGTTGGTTTTATTATATTTTTAATTTACAATTCAAGAAATCAAGGCCCATAAATCAAGAGAATCAGGTATTGGCCAACGATTTCTGGTATAACTTACATTTTTAGACATAAACAAGGTCCAAAATCCTTGAAACCTGATATCCTCAAATTGTGTTGAATATGCTAGTGGAGGTCCTTTGCCCGGTGATTTAACTGTGTGATTTTCCCAGCGTAACTCTGGCTACTTATGGTAGTGTCTAGAGTAAGGGGAAGATCAAAAATGGGTCTTCAAAATGGGATAGTTTGTTAGGTCAGGGGGGCCGAGGAACAAAGGTAAAAGATAGGAATATCCTTCCCCATAGACCCTTTGTACCTTTTCTATTTTGTGTCCTGTACATGTATTTCTCATTAAAATGTTTAAAATTCGATAGATGAGTAGATGAATGGGAGGAAGAATAGATGAATACAGAGCGAGAAAGAGAGGTTGAGAGTTTGCTGTCTCAAGAATATTTTACTTAGAATAGTTAGCCCTAGCATCAACCAAAATAATAAACATAACTTTATTTTCCTGATATCCAGAATATCGCTTTCCTGTGTGTGGGGCCGGGGGCGGGAGGGGGGCGAGAGGAGGACAGATAAAAGCAAAGCAAAGAAACCAAACCAAAACATTAATTTTTTGAAGTCCAAGGCTTATTGAATAAGTTCAGAAGTTGTGACATTTAAAAACTGCCAGAACCAGGGAAGGGGCCACTGCCAGGCTATGCACATGCCCCATGATGCAACAAGCATCTCGCTTTTCATCTACAGCATGCTTCTTTTCTGGAAATTCCAAACTATCTTAAAATACCAGGGTTGCCAACTTCTGTCTAAGAGCACCACTTTATTTACCAATTTAAACAAAACAATTTAGGGAGGTAGTGGCCGGATATTATTTGTATACATAGCCAAGTTGTCTCAACCAAGCAACCAGGGGGGTGTCCATCAGCATCCAGCATCTTAAAGAGCTTAGGGAGACCCCATAATTTCGTACCACCTGCCTCAATATCACTAACACTGTCCTCACACCAGGAACCAGTAGTAGCACCTTACCAAAAAGAAAATGAAAGTGCAAAGGAGTAAAGTGCCTTCTGGGAATCCTTTAAATCTGTTCGTCACAATTTTTTTTAATTGGATAGTTGTATTAAAAGGTAGATAGAGTCAAATATAGATATATAAATATATATGTAGATACATATACATAAAATATAGACATAAAGACAAAATAGAGGGTCATGTGACCTTGTACATGCCCTAAAATCATAAGTATATTCAAGGCCTCTGCCCTAATGCAACCAAAGAAGCCACTCTTCCCACCTTCAGCCTCTCTTCTCAACTGCAAAAGAGCATCATTCATAATCTCCTTCTCCAAAAATAATCAACCCACTCACCCCAAGATCCAAGAATCATCCCATAAAGCAATTACTGCCACCATTCAAAGTAATTGGCTCTCACACTAACCAATGAAGGGGAATGGGGGAGGGGGGCGGGGGCACACTGAAAGAAAATGCACCAAAATGTTAATGTGGTTATCTTCGTGTGGCAGGGTTATAAAGTTATGTTTTTCTTTTATTTTTATTCGTTGGTATTTTCTAAATTTTCTATGACAAGATTTTATTTGAGTGTTAGGCAAAATGGTTTCTAGTGCTTGATATGACTGACCTGCCATCCTAGGAAGCAAGTAGCTCTCAGTGACTTCCGTTCACCAGAGAAGGGGTGTGCCCGTATTGCCTAAAGGAATGTTCTTACATGGATAAATAGGCCCAATAAGTTGTTTCCTGTCTTGGAATATATAGCTCTCAACAAGCCTGTGCCACTTGGCTAGAAGCACCGGTGTTCCTGGAGGCTATGTGTATGTCAAGTCTCCATCCCCTTTTGGTTTGCCAAGATCCAACGTCTTGCTGACATCTCTGCTTCTGTCCAAAAGTTTCCTTAATAAACTTTAATTCTGGAGTTGTCAGCCTCTTTCTTCAGTCTCTGAGCCATATCCTCCTTTAGAGGTCAGTTTCTGTATACCTCAGGAAATTTTCCCAACAGTTTAAACAATTAGAAAAAATTAGACTTTAAAAATTAAATGCAGTTATGATTGCCAAAATATATAAGGTGGGAATTTCTGGGTGCTAGTAACGTGTGTATTGGAAGAGATGGTTAAAGAGTATATACTTCACAACCATCTGCTAAATTGTAAATGTAGGTGTTATACATTTTTCTATAGGCTTTATTTCAAAAATGAAAATAATTTTAAAAAGAGGCAATGGCCTCAGCTGTTGTAAAAAAATAACCTACTTTTGGTTTGGTTGGTTTGGGTCTGTTGTTATTTTGTTCGTTTGGCTTTTTGGGTTTTTTGCATATACACAGAATAGCAAAGCTGGCCAGCGGCTTCCTCCGTGGAGGGGAAAGGATATTAGGAAGGTTAGAGAAAAACAAAGAGTAAGAAAATCAAGAATTCAGGGCCCAGAGAGCTGAAAATGTGAGCTGTAAGAGTCACAGGTCAGCAAGATGGCCTGTACACAATGTATTAATTCTGTCCCTCAGTACTTCCATCTTGAAATAAAAGTGTCTACAGTCTGCCTTAGATGAGTGGTGAGGACTAATGATTCACCTACAGTAAATGCTTTGAAAATCCTCAGGGAATAGACATTCTGAGATAGTAGTCTTACTCATCCATCCTCTTTATGAATAAAGTATTTTATTATCAGACCCCCATATCTGCTGATCCCAATTAAAGAAATATATAAGGGAGAGAAGAAATATACAAGGGAAAAATCCAAACTGTACCTAACCTTCTATGCAGGTACCTCTCATGCTTTGTAGTTCAATCAAACGACTAACGCGGGACTAATGCAAGAGCAATGCTAAGCAGCCTAATTTGCTGGGACCCAATTAGATCACTTATTTCTGCATCCACAGAACATATTTCTCAGCCCTACTGGGGTACTAGTAGTTGGGCACAACAATATTTAACATCAAGCAAACCATTGCAGAGTGACTCAGTTCAACAGAATGACCATAAATAAAATATCAAATGATAGTAGTTGATAGAGATGAAGAGGAAGACTAGGGAGGGGAGAGTGTGTACAGCAAAATAAGGAACTGCAACAGACAGAAAATCAGTGTGCATGGACCAAACTAACACTAAACAGACATCAAGTATGGGTTTCAAAGGCCACTGTCCTCAGTCTGCAAAACTGGTATGTTGTTGTTCTGCCTTCTGGATTAACTTGTTTACTAGCTTTCCTTAATGAATTGCTTGTTGTTTTGGTTTATTTCTTTGTTTATCTAGGGAGCCATTTTCTTAAACTCTGGACCTTGATCAACACTAGAATAGGAAAAAAATGTGTCTACAAGCCAATAAACATTGAGACAAATAAAAAAAATCAATGGACTCAGATGAGCCATGGATCAGCTGAATACTACTGAAAATTAATGAATTATTTTTATCCTAGATCTCTATGAGTTAATTTTTCACTTGCCTGAGTGATTTCTGACCCGCTTTTGGTTAACATCCAATTAGGAAAGACTGCCTCCTGAACAGGTTCAGAAGGTGTTGAACTGCCCAGTTTCCCATTTGACTGGGGAAACTGTAGCCATACCCACATAATAGGAAGCTTCGCTAGTATTCTGTAGCCAACTGGCCTCACCCCAAGGACATGTTATCCAGCCAGAAACAGACAAATAGGTCCATGTGAAGGTGACTGGCAGCCCCAGTAAGCCTTCCCAGAAGCAATTTGTCAAACAATAAATTCACCAAAATGTGTTTCTATTAACTCTTTATAAAACTTATAGCAATTGCTGTGGCGTTGGACAGTTTTAACAGCTTATGAGAATTTTTCTCAGCACTTCATTTTGATTGTGGATTTGCTGCAACCACTTTCGCAGAGCCATCTTAAAGGCATTCTGCCACATATTTTGGAGTTAGAGGGAGAGTCATTTATACCCTGGATCCCTTGGGTTAAAACTATTTAACACGACAGTGATGAATTTCCCTAATTCTCTGAGCCAGAAAGGCATCTGTTTTCAAGTTATCCCAAGATCCCAAAGGCCATGGTTACAGAAGCCCTCACCTCATATTCCTCTTTTTAACCAATATCACATATCTATCTAAACTTACATTTCCAACATATTCATTGACCTGAATGAATTTTTTAAATATTTTGACAAATTAAACTATCAGGAGAAACTTCTAAAAAGGAAAAGAAAAATAAATAGCTAGTGAAGTGACAGGCACCTGGGGTGGGAAAAAAAATATCAGTTACAGTTTCACCATTCTTGGATGATAGACATGTGTCACTCCTGAAGCTGTGGCTCATTTGAGGGAATCTCCCAAAGGGGATTCCTACAGATATGAACCCATGTGTCATGCAGCAAAAATGCACTGTAATTTGTCCTGCCTTGAAAGCATTGCTCTCAACCAATGTTTTTCCTTCCAGAGGGATTATAATGCTTAAATAAAAAAGCAGTAACACAGGGTTTATAATGTGAAAGGGAAGGATTTTATGAGATTTAACAATCTATAAATGTGTAGGGCAAGCGAAAAGGCAGATGTGTTTTAGGTGAATGTCACCTAAAATCCAAACCTAAGTTATAACCATTTTATTGTTAGAATGGCACATGCAATATACCTAACCCTAACCTCCTAATGGTGATGTTTATCTTCAAAAGGATAGATGACCTAAATATTAGGGATGACAATTATTAATTTCTCTGAAGTAGTGAATGCGAAAGGATGAACAAATGAAATGAACAAATACAGAAAGCAATAATTAAAATGTTTATAGAGCTGAGGCTTTCACGTGCAGAAGCCACAGTGAGGATGAGAACAAAAGTGAATGAATGGAACTTTATGGAAAGTCTTAACGAATGAGGTACAAAGCACATGAAACTTGGTATAGGGGATTCAAAGTCCACTGTGGAAAAGAAAAAAAAAAAAAATCAAATCAGAAACGAAGTTTACCCAAACAAAGGAGACTGCGCAAGAAAAATGATCACTGCTAATTTAAAGCAGAAAGATATGCACCTCATCATTTTTGTACCATAATAAGAATAAATCCAAAACCAAATGCTAGCCCAGCATACTATTTCAATTTTGCTGACAAAACAGTTTACGTTTTATGTAAAGAAACAGTAAAATCTAAAATGGGAAATTGGTATTTAATAGAAAGACATCAGCAATATAAATTAAAGCAGGGATTTGGAGAATTTTTTTTTTTTTAATCCACAGCTAATTTGACATTAGTGGTTAAAATTAAATAACAGAGTTCAGTGAATTATCAAGAAAAATGAACTATAAATCAAAAGGCATTAGAATAGTACAGGTCACAAATTCAGTTGCAGTTACAGTGTGTCACAGGAGAATGGAAATATGGTTAAGCAGAGGTGGTAAAACAATGCTGATTTAGTCAATGCCAACAAGGAACTTCAGATATACATAATGTAAAAGAAAAAAAATCTTACTTTTGAGTATGTGAAGTTAAGTCACTATTTTTAAAATATTCTCTCTCCAGTTTTTTGGGGCATATATTCATTAATCATACAGTTAGTCCTTCAAAAATAATTAACCCACCTTAAAGAAATCATATGAATATACATTTCATTCCAAAATGATGAAAAAAACAGTTTACATTTTATGTAGAGAGGCGTAAACCATATACTTGGAGAGTTTTGCACTGTTCTTCCCAATTATTTCAAAAACCCTCTCTCACTATTACAAATCTTTTGTCAATGGAAAAACAATTTGCTGAAGTTTTCCTAAAATAAAAACTATTAAGAAGGAAGTTTAAATGTGACCCTGAAGGTGTCACATTTGATGTGAATCAAATTTTAGACTAATTCTAACAAGTGTCACTGAAGACTTGCCTATAAGGTAACTTCTGCATTCTAAGTCTCACGTCATAGAAAAGTGTTCCCGTAGAAATAAAGCTGGATAATAAGTCATGCATAAGAATGCAGAAATCTTTAAAATTACATTTTCTCTATAATATGTAAAAGTCAATGTAAAAACAAAATAAATATATATAATATAGTAAATATAGTGATTATTTTGATATTTAGCTTTTTCAGTGGCATGAAGATAACGATGGTTTAAAGTCCCTCAGCAACTATCTAATAATTCTTTCACCAGAATTTGTAACAGAAATTATTTACAAATAATTTATAGTTTTCTTTGATTAGTCAGATCCTGTGTTTTTATGGATTTATAAGCCTCAAGAAGAAAATAGGCTGATATGAACCAAAAAGATGGAGGAGATGAATATACAATCATTCAAAATTCCGCAGGTTTATATGAGCAATTTGAGAAGCACAATTATCATAATGTATAAACAGTAAATAATAATGAGTAGTGTATATAATGAATGAAACAGCCCAAGAAACTGACAAATGTAGATATGGGCTATTCTGGCATTGCTCCATTCAATTTCCCTTCACGAGATTTTGTGAATTATATCCAGATTTTTCCAGCTTCTTGGTCTTCTCACTCCTATTCCTTGTTGACTCTTTAAGCTACTAAATAAAGATATCTAATCCATAGGCAGCCTGAGTTTCATAATTCTCTTCACCCCAGGAACACCTACCATTTTCACTGAGTCACTCAAAGTTTCCCACTGCTGGAATGGCATCGTTATTTGGCTCCTTCGCCAGTGGTCATAGCGGGCTCGACTCTCTTCATTAGTCAGAACCTCCTTTGCCTTCTGCAGTTTCTGAAAAGTCTCCACTGGAAAACAAATCAAAAGATGAAAACTTCTTTCTTGGAGGAGTTATTTTAAACTCTCAAACAATCGAACTGATCTCACTGGAATATGTGTCTGCTACTGACTAGCTGTGTGACCTTGGGCCAGTTCACCTTGTAAAACTTAAGCCTCCTCATTTCTAAAGTGTATCATAAGGACGAGTGAGATCATGTATGTAAAGTACCTGGCTCACAGTTTATCCCCTCCTTTTACTGAGCTCTAGTAATTGTCAGGTGCTGTTCCAGGTGTTAATGACACAGGTGTGAACAATAGACATGATCTATTTAGTGGGCTAGACATTTATAAACACTGGGGAAAATCATAATTTTGTCTAGTAAAAAAAAAACTACATTTTTAGTTGTAGTTTTCAGGGAGGGTAGTGACAAGGCTAGAGAAATATTATAAATAAACACCCTAAGGCATGGTGATTTAAAGGAAGTACAGGATGCCAGTGTGGCTGAAGATACAGGGTCATGGGGAGAATAATGAAGGATGGGGCTACAGAGCAGACAAGGACGCAGTATCCATGATTTCAGAGGTCATGCTAAGGATTCTGGTCTGTTTTTTGTTGTAAGAGCAATGGGAAGCTATTGGGAAGTTTTAAACATAGGAAATAACATGGTAGATGCGTGATAAATGGTAGCTTTGTCATTGACCTATTTGACCTGGTGGCATACAATAGAAACCTTTTATGGCCCTGTTGGAAACACTTCCAATGTCAGTCACGTTCCTCAGTGAAGTTAAAACATTCTATAGAGCAGGATAGAAGATCAATATATGAAAATCAACTATGTTTCTATACATTAGCAATGAGCAATATGAAATTAAGAAACCAATTCTATTTATAGTAGCATCAAAAAGAATAAAATATTTAGAAAAATACTAACAAAAGAAGTGTAAGAATAATACACTGAAAACTATAAACATCATTGAAAGAAATATCTAAATAAATAGAAAGACATCCATGTTCATGGATCAGAAGACCTAATATTGCTAAAATGGTAATATTCCCCAAGCTGATCTACACATTCAAAACCATCTCTATCAGAATCTCTGCTGCCTTTTTTTTTGCAGAAATTGAAAGTTGATCCTAAAATCCATATGCAAACGCAAGGGACCCAGAATAATCAAAATAACTTGAAAGAACAAAGATGGAAGAACTCACACTTCCCTATTTAAAACTTTTTACAAAGCTCCAGAAACAAAAACAGTGTGGAATTGGCAAAAGGATAAACATAAATAAATAAAATATTGAGAGTCCAGAAGCAAACCTTCACTTTTATGGTCAACTGGATTTCCACAAGAGTACCAAGACAATTCAATTGAGAAAAACAGTCTTTTCAACAAATAGTCTGAGACAACCAATATCCACATACAAAAGAAGGAAGTTGGATCCCTACCTCATACCATATGCAAATATTAACTCAAAATAAATCTTAGACCTACATGCAAAAGCTAAAACTAAAAATCTCTAAGAAAAAATATAGGAGCAAATCTTTGTGACCTTGGGTTAGGCAATGGCTCCTTAAATATGACTCTAAAAGTGCAAGCACAAGCAACAAAAGAAAAAAATAGAAAATTGCATTTTATCGAAATTGAAATTTTTGTGATACAAAGAACACTCAAGAAAGTGAAAAGATAAGCTATGGAATGGGATAAAATATTGGCAAATCATAAATCTGATATGGGATTTGTATCTAATTTTTATAAAGAACTCTAATAACCCAATAAGACCAATAACCTAATTTAAAAATTGGCAAAAGATTTAAATAGATATTTCTCCAAAGATATATAAATGGCAAATAAACACATGAGAAGATGTTTAACATCATTAATCATCGAAGAAATACAAATCAAAATCACAGTGAGATACCACTTCACACTCACTAGAATGGCTAAAGTAAAAAGATAGATAAATACAAATGTTGGTGAGGATGTGGAGAAATTGGAAGACTTATACATAGCAGGTAGGATTGTCAAACAGTGTAGCTGCTTTGAAAAACAGTTTGGCAGTTCCTCAAAATGTTAAATGTAGAGTTACCATATGATCCAAGAATTCCAACCATAAGTACAGTCAGTTCTCTTTTTCTGCAGGTTCAGCATCCATGTATTCAACAATCGTTGAACAAAAATATTTGGAAAAAAAATGTTAATTGTTGCTGATGTGTACTGTGTAGTCAAGCCTTTGATGCTCATCTATATTGAACACGTACACTATTTTTTCTTGTCCTTATTCCCTAACAATATAGTATAACAACTACTTACATAGGATTTACATTGTATTAGTTACTATAATTATAATCAAGTAGGTTATATGCAAATACTGCAGCATTTTGTACAAGGGACTTTTGGTATCCACAGGGGTCCTGGAACCAATCCCCAATGGATACCAAAGGACAACTGTACAAGAGAACTGAAAACATATATCCACACAAAAACTTGTAGACAGATGTTCATAGCAGCATTATTCATACTACCCAAAAAGTAGAAACAACTCAAAACTCACAAATGTCCATCAACAGATAAATGGATAAACAAAATATGGTATATCCATATAATGGAACTATCATTCAGACACAAAAAGAAATGAAGTACTGATACATGCTACAACGTGAACAAGCCTCAAAAACATTGTGCTAAATGAAAGTAGCCAGTGACAAAAGGTCACATACTAAATGATTCTATTTATATGAAATATCCAGAATAGACAAATCTATAGAGAACAGTAAGTAGATTTGCAGTTGCCAGGGACTGGGCAAAGGGAAATGGGAAGTGATTGCTAATGAGAACAGAGTTTCTTTTTTTTCACAACAACCTTATGAGGTGAATATTATTGTTACTATTATTCCCATTTTACGAAACCTAAGTCTTTAGGAGGTTAATGTAACTGGTCCAAAATCCCAAAGCTTCAAATGAAGGAGCCACAATTCAAACCCAAGCCTGCCAGGCCAGCAAACTAGTGTTCTCCGCTTGACTGTCCTCCTGACCCTTCCATTTACCTACAAGGCATGCTACCCGCCAATCCTCACTTCCTCCTCCACCTTCAGGGATAATAAAAACTTCATCATTCATCAGTAAGATCCAGGTTGTGCCCTTGAGAAGCTCAGAGTCTGGTAAAGCACACATAAATAAATCATTTCAAGACAATGTGAAAAATAGAAATATGGAGACAAGACTGGTATCTGCTTGGGGAGTCAGGAAATATTTCATTAGTTTTCTATACACTTGGAGTCGTCCTTGACTCTGCTCTTCCTCTTGCATGTCATTTCTAATGCATTAGCAAACCTTCGTGGTTCTTCCTTTAGAACAGTCCCAAGATCTGACCTCTTGTCATCACCTTCACTGCCACTGCTCTGGTCAAAGCCCCGATCCTCTCTTGGCTAGATTATTATAGTAGTTTCTCAACAGACCTTCCTGCCTTTGCCTCAGTCTATTTTCTACACAGCAGTCAGAGTAATCTTTTAAAAAATAAGTCATATAATATCACTCCTCTGCTCAGAATGACTTCCAAAGACTTCTCATTTCTCTTAGAATAAAATAAAACATTCTTACCATGGCTAATAGGTCTGAGATGCTCTGCCTGCCCTCTACCCTTCTCTTCCTTTTCTGACTTCATTTTCTTCTACTTTGTCCCATCTCCCTTTGCTACAGCCATAGTAGTTCCCCTGCTGTTCCTTGAGTATCCCAAGCCCACTTCAGCCTCAGGGCCTCGGCACTTGCTATCCTTTCTACTAAGAATACTTTTACCCCAGGCACTCACATGTTGTTTTCTTTAGATGTTGGCTCAGACACCGTCTTGTCAATGGGGGTCTTCTCTGACCATGCTATATAAAATAGCTACTCACCCCATCAGCCCCATTCCTTTATCTCCCTGCTCTATTTACTTTTCTTCATAGTACGTACCTCCTGACATTATACAGTTATTTGTTTATGATCTGTCTCCTCTACAGAATACAAACTACATGAGGGCAGAGACTTTATCACTTCTGTTCTCTGCTGTATCCCTTGCAGTGGAGCAGGTGCTCAAAAAGCATTTCTTAACTGAATGAATGAATGAATGAATGCTTCCTATTTTGAGTGTGAATATAAAGATATTCATATAGTACTATTCCCTGAGCTCCAAGCACCAAAGAAATGACACATATCCTTACAACATTTTGTGAATTAGGAATGTTTCAATAGTATCATTGGGAAAAATAATTAATTTAACCCTGATAGTGCTTTAAAATACCTCATGAAAAATAGTCAAAATCCTTTCAAACAGGTGCAAGAGCAAATGTTAAGTCAATACTGATAAATCTGTTCCCCAGTCACTAAAGAGCTTCTCTTCCTGAGACTCCATCCCCCGAAACACCACCACTTCAAGTATTGCGCCAGCAATCAGAGACACAGCCCAACACAGAGGGCACCCCCAGGAACCTGCTCCAAAGCTGGATAGCACAGATACCTAAAGGCAATTAACTATTTAATATCACCACTGGAGGCAGTAGCAATCAATGGGTTAAAGGAAAGAACCTGAAGATGAGGCTATTGAAAGCTACCAGATACACATGTCTCTTTAAAATAGCGTTTTCAGTTTCTTCAGATAAATACCCAGAAGTAAGATTACTGGGTCCTTCTTTGTCTCTTTTTATAGACTTTGTTTTAAAGTCTATTTTGTCTGGTATAAGTATTGTTACCTCAGCTTTTTGTTTGTTTCCATTTTCATGAAATAACTATTTCTATCCTTTTACTTTCAGTCTGTATGTGTCTTTCGATCTGAAGTGAGTCTCTTGCAGGCATCTAATGTTCATTGCAGCATTATTTACAATAGCCAAGATACAGAGGCAACATGGGTGTCCATCGATGGATGAATAGATAAAGAAGAGGTGGTACATATATACAATGGAATATCACTCTACCATAAAAAAAAGAATGAAATCTTTCCATCTGCAACAACATGGATGACCTAGAGGGTTTTCTGCTGAGTGGAATAAGACAGACA